CTGGTAAGTGACGGGTCTGCGGTGGCGATCGGCGTTGTGTTTAGCGATGATATTTGATTCTTTTATTGCTTCTGCTGCCCTGGTCCGTGCTGCTTGCAGAATCTCGGCGAACTGTTGTGCTCGTGGGACGGGGTTGTCGGGATTCGGTGTCATGGGTACTGTTGGGTCCTGTCCGTAATTTAAGTAAAACGGCGACTGTTGTGTCGTGGCTGATGGCGCGTTATTGTATGCGAACTCGATGAGGGGCAGCTGTTGTTCCCACGTGTTCGGATCGTCGCACGTGGCTCGAATCAGCTGCTCCATGGTTTGGTTTGTCCGTTCCGTCTGTCCGTCGGTTTCGGGGTGATAGGATGAACTGAATTGAAGTCGCGTGCCGAACTGCTGCCACAAGTTCCGCCAGAAGTTGCTGGTAAATTTCGTGTCCCTGTCGCTGATGATCGACGCTGGTATACCGTGTAGTCGAACGACGGTGGTGATGAAGAGTCGGCCGTTTCCTCGGCTGTGATTGATTTCCTGCATGCTGCGAAATGTGCCATTTTCGTCAGTCGATCGACGACGACCAGGATCGCGACATTCCCACTCGCCCCAGCTGGTAACCCCATGACGAAGTCCATCGTCACCTGCTGCCAAGCACGCTCTGGGGGTGGGATTGGTTGCAATTGTCCCGCCGGCCGCTTCCTGCTTGACTTCATGAGCTGGCAAGTGGGACACGATGCCACGTGTCGTTGCACGTCGGTCAACATTTCTGGCCAGTAGTAGTACCGCTGCAGCTGCTGCCGTGTTTTTTCTACCACGAAATGTCTTGAGGTAACGCCGTCGTGTGCCTCCTGTAATAATAGTTCCCGTAGTAATGTGTACCCTGGTACCCAGATGCGGTCAGTTCCAGCTTTTACGTAGTAGATGCCCTTGGCTGCTGCGAATTGCTGTGAATTGCCTCCTGTGAAGAATGGGTCTGTTTGATATCAGTGGGTAAATAGGCCTGTCAGTAGCGGGCTGGTCTGAGCGAGTAGTATTGCATGGATCTGGGCAGTGGGGCGGGTCAGTGCGTCGGCGATATTTGAGGCTCCTTTTTTGTATGTGACCGTATAGTGAAAATTCGACTCAAGGAAGTCGAGCCACCGAATCTGTCGTGGGTTGAGGTGGGGCTGTGCGCGAAGGTACTGTAGAGATCGATGGTCTGTCCGTACTGTCACGTCTGCGCCGGTCAAGTAGCAGCGCCACACTTTGAATGCGTGCACGATCGCAAGCATTTCGCGGTCGTGTATCGGGTAATTTCGCTCAGGCGGATGGAGTTTGCGTGATTCGTAGGCGATGGGTTGGAGGCCGTCGCCGAAGTCCTGTAACAGTACAGCTCCGATGGCGATGTCACTCGCGTCTGTAATCACTTCGAAGGGGCGGTGTGGGTCAGCGATGCGTAGGACGGGTGGTGAACGGAGAACATTTTTGAGGGCAGAGAAGGCAGCTTGCTCTTTCTCCCCCCACGTAAAAGGGACCCCCTTTCGCAGTAAATCAGTGAGCGGGGGTGTTAAACGTGCCATGTCGGGGACGAACCGTCGAACGTAATAAACAAACCCTAAAAAACTCTGTAGTTCCGTGATGTTCGTCGGGGGGCGCCATGCTTTTACCGTATCCAGCTTCTTCGGGTCAATTTCAACCCCAGCCTCCGAAATAACGTGACCTAAAAACTCTAGCCTGTCTCGAAAAAACTCGCACTTGGAGCCCTTGTTGAGTAACCGATGTTTTTCTAAAACCTGAAAAACTGCTTCGAGATCTTCTAAGTGCTGCTGCTTGTCCCGACTGTAAACGAGGATATCGTCGAGGTAAACTATCACGCATTTATCTAAAAGCGGCCAAAACGCCTCGTTCATAGTCATCTGAAATGTTGCAGGCGCGTTGGTCAGCCCGAAAGGCATCACTGTGTACTCGAAAGACCCGTACCTAGTCCTAAATGCTGTCTTGGCGCAGTCCGATGGTTCGACCCGAATCTGATGGTAACCTCCCCGTAAATCTATTTTCGAAAAGACTCGTGCTGTTCGCAGTTGGTCGATCAGTTCGTCGGCGCGGGGGATGGGGTATCGCGATTTGACTGTAACCCTGTTAAGCGCTCGGTAGTCGATGCACATGCGGAACCCTCCGTCTTTTTTCGGTGTGAACAGTATCGGTGCGGCGAACGGTGACGAGCTCGGTCGGATAAACTGCTTCTCTAACAGGTAATCTAACTGCTTCCTTAACTCGTCGAGCTCGGGCTGTGTTAGTCGAAATTGCCGCTGTACAGTTGGCTGTGCCCCCGGTTCTAACTCGATCCTATGGTCGTGCGCCCGGTGAGGTGGCAGTCCATGAGGTAAATCATCCGGAAATATCCCCGGGAACCGTTCCAGTAGTGCGTGTAGTTCGGTCGGTACGGCTGCCAGCAGTTTCTCTAAATCACTCGGCTGCTCCTCTTTTTCTACTAGCGCAATATCCACTGCGTACACGTCAGCTCCAACAGCGACAGCCCGTTTCATCGTGATGGCGTTGACTTGGACCGTCGAAGTTTCGGGTGGCTGCCAACGAGGTAGAATGACCCAGTTACCACTACTTCGCACTGTGCAGCTCCCCGTCGTCCAGTCAATCCGTGGGTTGTACCGTCGCAGCCAATCACGTCCCAATAAAATGTCGTGCCCATCGAGTGTCGTTGCGAGCATTTCCTGTGTAAACCCGAAGTTTCCCCCGCAGCAGACTTTTACTCGCTCCACCTTTTCCCGTATGGCTAGGGGCGTGCCGTCGACTAAGCGTGCATCTATCTTTGGTAAGCATCGGTTAAGTGTTAACTGTAATTTCCGTGTGGTTGCGGTATTAACTAAGCTGTGACTTGCTCCTCCGTCAATAAAGATCTTCACTGCCGCTCCCTGTATTTTCCCGTAGATCAGTACCGGGCAATCCGTCGCTGTACCCTCCTTATTCATCCGAGCCCGATCGATGGCGGGAATCGGTACTGTGACTCGGTGAGGGTCGGTGTGGTTGGGCGAGCAGGCAGTCTCGTCAGTAGTTGGCCCAACTTCTACTGACTGCTGGCGTTTCCCTGCCTCTGAGACTCCCTCCCCTGCTCTGCTCCTTGACGTCTCAGCTCCTCTGGGCATTCGCTCTTGCGATGGCCCGGCCGGTTGCAAGCAAAGCAGCGCCCTCTAAACGGTGTGGCAGCTGCATTCGTTGCGACGGCATGCGGTGGCGTGCTCGATCGGTCCCCGAGGACGATGTCCGTAATAGGACCCCGGTCTCGGTCGGCGTAGGATGTCAATTTTCTCGGCGAGCGCGAGAATCGCGTTGAAGTTCGAGAGCCCGCGTAGCATTATCTCGTGCGAGATGTCCGGCTTCAGCCCTCCGACGTAACGGTCCACCCGCTCCGCTTCGTGCATGTAGCCGACCTGTTCGCAAAGTGCGAGAAAACCGCTGGTATAGTCTTGAACTGACCCGAGCTGGCGCCAAGTGCGCAGTTTCTGACGCGCCGAAATCGAAGCCGCGATCGGCTCAAAGCGCGCCCGAAGCCCTGCGCACCACGCATCCCACGTGCTGTATTGGGCGGTTTCGCATAACGAACTCCAGGTAACAGCTGGACCCGAGGGCCCTTCCTCGTGCGACGGTGGCTCGTAGGCGCGTGGCGAGGTCACGATGACTCGCCACCAGTCCATTGCGGGGCCCCTGAGTAGTGAAACCGCATACCGGATCTTGGCAGCGTCCGACTCGACGTAGTTGGCGTCGAAAAACACATTCATCGTGAAGACCCACGATTGAACTGTCGGACCGCCGCGTTGGCTTGGGTCGAAGCAGGGCGGGCGTTGCGGCTTGAGTGGCATTGGGGCCATTATGGCGTTTTCGCCACTTGTCGCCGCAAACGCCACGTGCCGACGGGCTTCTCGGGGCTCCCGTGGGCTTGGTGCGCTCCTGTTCCCTCCCATGCCGGGCATCGGCTGGGCGGCGCCTTCACTGGCTGCGCCTGAGCGTTGTCCCGTGCTCTCGTGTTGTGTTGGTGTGCCGGACGAGATGACAATTGGCTCCTCCGAATGTGCAGATGCATTGGTTGGTGCGTGTGATGTCGTCGGTACGTTCACCGTTGATTGTTGACGGGCGGAGTCACGTTCCGCCGTGAGAGTCGCGATTTCGAGCGCCGAGTCCTCCAATTGACGCACGAGACGGTCGAGTTGCTCCCGCGCTTTCGTGGCGAGCGTGAATTCGGCCATGGCGGGGGTGTCGGGCAAGCTCAGCGAGAGCCTCAGTCGTGGTCGTGCGTGCTTGCGAGAGAGCACTACGAGCGGCGGTGCTGTATCGCTGAGAGACGTCTACCCCCCCCAAAAATTGAGATAGTGGGAAGCGAAGGTGTGGATGCGGTCCGAGATGAGATCGTAGGCTCTGGATACCAAGTGTTACGAGTGCAATTGAGTGAACGAACGAGAATTGCACTATCGAAGCAAGAGTACAATGAGCGAAGGCATGAGCGAACAATATATAGCGAAACTACAGTGGTAACGGTAATGGTCGTGCGACGAGCCTGGGACTGAGGTTGGGAAAGTGTCGAAGCGTAGGCCCGGAGCGCGGGTTACCAGCCGAGCCGTGAGGTCGGGATGCGATGTGCAAAAATGGCGGGATGATGAATGATGCGATGGTCGCGAGTGATAACGGTGCTGACTGAGGTGCTACAGTGATATACGCGTTGAGCAGGGACGCGAAGTAAGGAAGAAGGGGATTTCCTTAGGGACCCATAGACTCCACAACACTGATGATCTACATGATTCCATGTACGGACCAAAGCAACTGATAAACCAAAAGTGGCTTCACTGAAAAACAAATATGCATTGCAATTATGAATATTGATTTTGCACAGAAAAGGTTGCTTAGGCGCCGAAAAAAATCTTGGAAGAAAATCTGCAGACACCAAGTGATTCACAACTCAGTGTTCATCCTGCCACCATATTGCAACCATGCCATGCAATCAGCCATCCCGATCAACCCTCTGCCCTCCCTCCCTACAGCTGCTGACGAGAAGTCAACTCGATGGCTGAAGAAGCACGAGGTCGCAGGACCAAGGAGTGGACAGTGAGAACAAGCAGCACCTTAGAGGCGGTCCCCACAGCTCCACCATTCAGACACAGCAATCCTCCACCGCCTAGCCCAACAGCAGCTACTGTAGCTGCTGGCATGAGTAAATGCCGGAGTGCTGCCAGTGACCTGAACCGCCTCCCCTGCTTCTGCTGCTGCTGCTGCTCCTCTTGTGAGGACTGCGACTGACCAGTCACACCCTCTATTGCAGAGCTTCCAGCTGCTGGCTTATGTTCACCTCCAGGCAGAGCTGCAATGCCAGCCGTATGCAATTTCTGGGCCTCTGCTACTGCTGCTGCCATGGCGAAGCTAGGAGCAGCAGTGGCTGTGTGACGGCAATGAGCGTGGAAGGCAGCATCTGGTGTACCCTCGGGGATCAGGTGAGATGGCACCTGCAATACCGGAAACATAAAAGCCAGGCAGTGGAGACCGCATGAGAACACACCACACCAATGGCACATGAAAAGGAGAACGCGAAACAAATCCGCATCAACTGTTTACTTGCAGCAGCAAATATGGCCCTCAGCTGCCACTGACCTGCTTAACCACAGACAGCGGAGGCATCACGCGAGGCGGTGACCCACTTGCTGCTTGCTCCAGCATGGCACAGCGAGCTGGCGCCTTTCCATGCGAGGGGCTGTGCTCCTTGATGTAAGAGCGCAGGTGTGAGTCAGTGCTGCGGATGTAGCCCCATGCTCCACGGCGGTATGCCAGTTTGGCCATGTCTCTCTGCATGCCGCTGTCCTCCTGCACCACCATGTCCATCTCTGCTGCTATCCTGCCGTCCGGCAGCACCACTGCATGGCACAGTACAACCACAGGGAGGCGCACAGGGAGAGAGAGCAGAGCAGAAGATGAGACTTCTGGAGGGACCTCAAGATCACTGCGGGTTGCAGAGCAACAGCCGCTCAGGGTGGCATGGAAAGGCAGATAGGGGAAAGAGCAGCAGCATACCATCTTTCATGCGCCACTCGGATCGGTACACGTCCACGCGCCGTGGCTTGTTCTTCCGGGGCACATTCACATCCTCCACTGCCTTGGTGATACAGAAGAACGTCTCGCCCATGCCACCCTGCATCCCTGCCGCGTCCACGCTCTCCCCCTGCTGCCACACTCGCCATGCGAGCACATACTCGCGGGGCGCGCAGAAGGGGTACTTGCGCTCGAAGCGTGCACTCTGCACGCCGGTCGCAGGGCAGGCGAGGAGCGGCGCCATGGAGCGCAGCATGGGGTCCCAGCGCGGCATGTACGCGCAGTCTGTGTAGAAGGCGCAGGTGTCGCGTGCAGTCGCGCCTATGAAGCGGATGCGCGACCGGTACTCAGTCACACCGCCGTCCTGCAAAACGGTGAGCGGGCACACACACGTGAACATACACAGTACACTTAGGGCTAGGAAAGTACGGCTTCCGAGGCAATTCAGGCATGGACGTGACCCTGAGGCATCCAATCAATCATCTGACGCGTGACCCTTCCACCACCCGCCCGTCACACTCGTCCCATCCACCCACCCACTATCACCATGCACTGCCCGCACTACTCAACAGTTCCAATCCAACCCCCCAGTTCCTCTCCCCCTTGTCTCTCCCAGCCTCTCCAGCCTCTCCTACCTGCGGGTCGCGGCGCCACGTCATGTACTCGACGTCGCTGCTGTGCTTGTCAATGATCATCTCCCACGGGCCCTGCTCGTCGTCATACGACCAGTCCAGCCGCAGCATCAGCGCCGCCAGGTCGCGCGTGCCCACCAGCGCGGTCGCCTCCCGCAGCTCCGCCTCCACCGCGCGCGAGTCCGCGGCGTCCAGACCATCCATGGCGCGGTCTCGCAGCTCCGCGGGGTTGCTGTTGATGAGGCGCAGGGGCGCAGGGTCGGACACGGTGTTGCGGAGACACAGGGGGAACGGAGGGGGAAGGACGGAGAGAGATGGGTTGAGAAGCGAGACGGAAGGGGTAGAGGGGCCTCGGGAGGGAGAAGCGAGGAAAAGCGGAGAGGGATGGGGAGTAAAATCCAGACCAGAATAGGCTCATGGGTGAAATGAAATGTGCAGCGGAAGGTGGCATAGGAGCAGACTCATAAGAGGTGCGCCATGTGCATACCTCATATCGTCGATGCATGACTCGCTATGGACCGTGGGCAGAGCAGCCATGGACCGTGACGCCGAAGCGAAGAGCTGCGAGAGGCTCTGGAGACACGGGCGGGAGAAGGAAACGGAGGAAATCGTTGAGATAACGGGTGCCAGGCAAACAGAAGCTCAGGGAACTTCCGACCACAATGCAGCAAAGCATCACGAAACACAGTCACAGCCACGAGAGTCGCAGGGACGGATCACGGCAGCAGTACAAGACATACCCTGACGAGCACGGCAGGCGATTCTCCGAGCGACAGCGACACGGGCGACTTCATCACGCTCTGCGACCACTGCGCGACGTTGCTCCACGCGCTGCTGCTTGCGCTGCTGGCGCTGCTCAGCCCCATAGAGATGCTGCTGGAAAGATTCATGCTCATGCTCCGAGGCAACGTCAGGCAAAGGCTGCTCGGCAGGCTACGGGACAGCGGCAGGCCCGCCGCTTTCACCTCTCCCTCCGCCCGGGGCTCGAGCTCCCGCACCTCCTCCACCTCTTCCTCCTGCTCGTCGTCGCTCGACAGGTCGCTCAGGTCGTCCTCCGAGTCCAGTCGAAGAAACGCGCTCGCGCGGGTCGACGACAGGCCCAGGCCCGCGGACGGGGCTGCGAGGGGCATCGGCGATGCGGCTATGAGGGCGGGCAGGGACGTGACGGACTTGTCGCTGCTGACCGTCAATTCCGCTACTGACACTGTGGACGAGTCGGACTGTGCTGGTGAGGGCGAGGGCGTGACGGAGGTCGAGTTAGAGGCGGAGAAAGGGAACCAGTACCCCGGCAGGCTGATGCTGGACGGGAAAAAACCACCACCGCTGCTGCTGCTGCTGCTGCTGGGGCTAGAGCTGCTAGTGCTGGGTTCCATATCGCTTCGTGCGACGACGGCTTCCGGAACGACATGGTCAGACGGGGTGCAGGGAGAAGGAGCGCTAGCGGCCGCCGGGGAGGCCGAGCGGCTGGAGAAAGAGAAGGAGAACCAAGCCGATGGGCGACTCCCGCCGCTCGAGCTCGGGGTCGCCTCGACCTTCGACTCCTCCTCCTGGCCGACGAGATCGCAGGCCGCTTCCTCCAGGCTAGTGCTGTTGGCGCTAACCATGCCGCTCTGCTCGCTCTCGCTCGCAGAAATGGTCGCACGTGGAGCTGAGGGCAGGGGGGAGAGCTTGAGGGTGGCAGCGGCGGCTGCACAGAGGGCCGTCATGAGGAAGAAGATGAGCAGCGACACCTGATTGTCGGCGCCGTTCGACACGTGCCACAGCGAGAACGCCGAGGCCTCGAGAACTCTGCGGACAACACGATGAAAAGCAAGGGCAGAACGAAACATTAGAAACATGTAACTATGACCGCCTCTTTTTTTTCAATGAGCCGGGTGAGTAAGAATAGGAAGACAGGTGATTGTGTTGGGAGAACGGGCTGGGATCAGCACCTGATATCAGCTGACAATCCCAGCGAGGAAAGCAGGTCCAGGATATATGTGGGCGATCCGTATGCCGCCATGTGCGCTCCCGCCATGGCTGTGACGCTGAGCCCTGAGCCGAGGACCACCACCGACGACCAGCCGCTCTTTCCCTGAGACTGAAGTTGCAAATCCTGGGACTGAGTTTCTGAATCCCGTGACTGCGGTTGCGAATCCGGCGACTGAGGTTGCGGATCCCGCGGCTGTAACAGTGATTCCTGCGACATTCGCTGCTGACTAGCGGAAGTGCTGGTGAACCTGGTGGGAAGGTAAGGTGATGGGGGAAAAAAGCCGAGAAGAATGAATTTATTAGAATTGAAAAAATTGGAACGACCCAATGTAGTCCAGCGGTCCAATGTGACCTGAGGTATTAGGGCGAGAGAGACTCACAGGTCAGCGGCTGCTGTAATCTGGTCCGTGTTCACGAGAAGACCTTTAGCTGAAGCGGCTAGTGAGGCCATGCTAGGCGATGGAACCAGAGAATCCGACTGAGCATTCACGCAGCGAAGGACGGACGGGACAGAGCTCGTTCCGCGCTGCAGGTCGGCGTACTGCCATGATCCGGCAACAGACGCGACTGCCGTAGCCTCCTGTTCACCCATGCAGTGCAGGGTCACGGCGGGAAGGACTCCGCAGGTACTCATGGCTACCGAGCGAAACCTAGACAAGAGCGAGTGTTCAATATGGACTTGTGAAGCTAAGGCAGCCTGTGAGATGTGAACCGGTAGGTGCTTCACAGTTTCTGCTTGGTGTACAGAACAACCAAACCGCTCTGGTCCTCAAAGGGAGGAGCAGCGACGGAAACAGCACGTTCTCAAAATAAACACCAACAATGGTGTTAAAATACGGCGCGAGTCAGGGCGAGTCGAGGGGATTCCTCTCGACCAAGGACGAGAGCACAGCAAAGCATACACGACGGAATGCTGGTTGCTAGAGCTCCGTGGTGAAGTGGGCTGTGGACCACAAGATATAGGCGCCTCCCCCTGGTGGAAATTGCGAGGAGGCAGATGAATACGTCCCCCTCTGCAACCATGCACACAACCAGGTGCTTTCTCTCCTCGCCTAGGACTTGGGTTTCTCTCTCCCTCTCTCCCTCTCTTGGTGCCTGCTGGATGACAGCATGTGTGCGTGCTCCTTCTGTTGCTCCTGCTCCCTGGCGAGGCGAGCCTGAGAACCCCCCTAAACAGTACAGAACTGGAATTCCTTCTGTGCGGACCAGGGCAGCACAGACGGGGAGGAGCGGACTGGCGGGGATTGAAGGACGTGGATTCCGCGGACCCCGTCGCATCATGGATTTCGGCACACCGCAGCGTGCCCAGGGCTGGGCAGTTCTCTGCACTGCTGGAAGCGGATTGGTTCGGATTCTGAGAGGATTCTGATCTGACGACGCCTGAAAGGTTTCCACATCCGCTTTTAAGAAAAAGGGGGGAGGGGGGCGATGTTTCACTTTGCGGGGTGATGTTTCAGTTTGCGCGCGTGCTGAAGTTCAGTCCACGCCTTGGGTTGGGCCTTCCAGTGTGCGGAAAGGGGATAAGGAATCAACATGCGCGGGGCTGATGTGGCAGGCAGGATGAAGACTCTCACACGGGTGATCTGCGGTGCGGAGGATTTGGCTGTCTTGTGCCCAGGTCTGACCTGGACGTCACCAGTATGATCAACATGATGAATCGCGACAACGATGATATTGACGTGGGACGGATGATTTCGATGATCAGAAACACACAATCTCGATTTTCGACGTGGATTGAGGGCAGTACATGCTGGCGCTGCTCTGGAAATACGCCCGCCTGCTTTGGAGACCATGGAAGACACGCATGAAACCCGCAGAATCTTAGGAAGCCAGTTATCTTGAGAGGTTCAGTGGGGAAAATCAAGTCGTCCTTACCCAGAGAGCAAGGCCGAAAACACTCTCGCTCTGATTGATGTGGACATCATCATCGCAAGTGGTGGTACGCCGACCAAGGGCCTGAACTTACCCACAGCCGGGCACCAACAATTTTGTTCCTTGCTCGCGAAATGCTCATGCCAGCCAATCGGCACGTGTGAATAAACAACAAGAATGCCGCGATATGGAAATTACTTGCCAATCACAGATAATGCTTTCAAACAAACAAACAACAATTTATTCCATAAAAAGGACCATGCATGACAATTTATGCCTACATACTTCCTGCGGGAGGACTTGGTTTATCACTTGAAAACCTGGTAGCACAGGGCTTCGCTCCAACCTTGAGTGGCGAGTTGCAGTTACTGCTTTGTGACAACCCAACCCTCCCTCTGGAAATTCGCCGGCTCGGGATTGGCTTACAATTTTCACACCAATCTCCTCCCCAACCTCGATTGGTTGCAGGTTGATGCGAAATCGCCAACACAACCCCAACCTCACGAAATAAGGACCCCCAACCGAGCCTTGGACGAAACTGGCGGGATTCGCCTGTTGTGTTTAAAACCTTCGCGCCCTGATTTCTCTGAAGGTATAATTTCGTGAGCAAATCAGACTGCATCCTATGGTGTGCACCCGAAATACCCCCAGAAAATACAATTTCGAATGTAGACCGCAGCTTTAAGTGGCCGGATTAGTCCATGTACCGTACTACATTTATCGCACAAGTTGCAGCACATGAGGAAAGCATTGGTTGCAAACATCGTGCTTGATTTGCAACTGAAGAAAGGAATGTCAGAATCCCAACCACTAGACCATTAAGATAAAAGGACTTGTTTGTGTAACGAGTAAGTGCGCCCATAATGCCAGGAATGAAAGTGTTGGTTCATTGATGTGGGTTGGGGTACATACAACAAACCCTAACATCTATACCCCCTAAGACAAACCTCACTACAGGCTACAACATTTGACACACCCCCATAGCCTAAGTGAGGGGTGTCAAGCAAAACCAAAAGTGTACGGTCACAAGACCAGTCACAAAGAAACAAAGCTCAGGGTGGATCACAACGTCACCACACACTCTGAGCACAAGCAACAAGGGCCACAAGGCCAGTTCGAGAGTTTACAAGTGTGTATAGCAAGAGTACAAGCAACGAAAACAGTAGAATCAAGCCTATACACGACTAGAAACTGTGTCAACAAGGCCTAACTGCACACAACACCTCTGGTGGTCACAAGGCGGAAGCGACTTGGTAAAGATGTCTGCAGTGTTGGCCTCGGACTCCACAAACTCGAACGAGCCTGTCCACGTTGTGAGAATAAGGGAAAAGGAATGAATGAACTAGCAGTGAAATGAGTACAAGTAGGAAACCCTAGAATTGTGTACCCCCTATAGGCTAACCCACTGTAGCCTACACAAGCATAACATATATAATGTTTGACACACCCCCATAGGCAAAGTGGGGGAGAACAAGGGGTCACAAGACCAGTCAAGCAAAGCAAAGCAAGCTCAGGGTGGATCACAAAGTCACCACACAGTCCGAGCACAAGAGCAGGGCCAGAGGCCAGTTCACATGCAGGAGGACAGACATATATATAAAACTATACAAGCAAGAGCAGGTATATATATATGTCATAGTACAAGTGAAGTCAAGAGGAGAGCAAGTGAGGCAAGACAGGCACAAGACCCAACTGGGTGCAAAAGCGCTGATGGTCACAAGGCGCGAGTGCCTTGGTGAACACATCAGCAGTGTTGGCCTCAGAGGCCACATACGCAAGTCGCAACTGACCACGCTGCTGCAGCTCACGAGCAAGGAAGTAGCGGAGAGCAATGTGCTTCGTTCTGTGCTCCAAGCGCTGCTCTCGACACAAGGCCAGCATGGCCTTGTTGTCTACGTACAGCACTGGAGGAGAACGAGGCGGCTCTCCAAGGTCAGTCAGCAGGTAGGTGAGCCAGCGAAGCTCCTGTGCAGCCATGGCCCCGGCGTAGCTCTCAGCCTCACAACTGGAGCCGAGAACTGAAGACGAGCGAGTAGACCGCCACGAGACAGAGCCGGAACCAAGGCTGAAGGTGTAACCCTGTGACGACCGCTGCGTAGCCTGGTCGTCAACCCAAGAAGCGTCCGCGTGGCCTGTAAGGACCACTGGACTCCGCCCTCCAAGCACTAGCCCCATGCCCGACGTACTGCACAGCTAGCGCAATACCCTCTTCGCTGCTGCCATGTGCTCTAGTCGGTGTCTCCCAGGAGCAACATAGCGTGCAAGAATGCTCAGGGGGTATGCAAGGTCAGGTCGTGTGCAGGTCATCAGGTACATGAGGCAGCCAACAAGCTCTACATACGGACCACTCGACTCTACGGACTCATCCGAAGGCAGAGCTGAGAGTGAGTGGCGAGTAGGCAGAGGAGTGGCCTGAGGCGAGGAGTACGTGAAGCCGAAGCGCTGAAGGACCTGCTGCACCATGTGTGACTGAGTCAAGGTAATGGTGCGGCGTGCTCTGTCCCGAGTGATCTGCAAGCCAAGGTAGCTGCGCAGTTCACCCAGGTCTGTGCACGTGTGTCTCTTCAGCAGCTCGGACTTCACGTAGGCGAGTCCAGCAGTGTCCGCTATGGCAAAGACCAAGTCGTCGACGTACACGAGGATGTAGAACGGCGGCAGGGAAGTGTCGGTGCGAAGAAACAGCGACGGGTCAGCAGTAGAAGGAGCAAACCCAAGAGCCGCAAGCGTAGTCCTCAGTGTGTCGTGCCACTCACGCGGTGCCTGGCGGAGACCGTAGACTGGCCGTCGGAGGCTCCACTGGGTGCCAGGAGGGAAAGTCCCAGTGAAGCCTGGCGGACGGCGCAGCCAGATCTCCTCGTGCAGGCTACCCTGCAGAAACGCAGTGCTGAAGTGGAGAGAGTGAAGCTCGTAGTCGCGCTGAGCGCCTATGTGCAGCAGCACCCGAAGAGTAGTCATCTTCGGGGTGGGAGAGAAGGTCTGAAAGTAGTCAACTCCCTGCCGCTGACTGAAGCCACGAGCAACGTACCGTGCCTTGAAGACAGGTGGAGAGCCCGGCGGCCGTTTCACCCTGAAGATCCACATGCCACTGACGATGTTCGCCCCAGGAGGGGGAACCGCGTCAACGTAGGTGCCTGTGGACTTCCAGGAAGCCATCTCTGCATCCATAGCTGCCTG